ATTACGCCGGATCTGGGTCAGCGCCGCCACACGCTCGCGTCATGATACTGTCGTGAACGCGCATCCACAAGTGACCCAGTAGAGACGAAAATGTGAAATAAAATTCCTTAATGATACCAGAATTTCAGTACACTTAAAATGACATGATGTTACACACTCTTGTACAGTAGGTGGCGGTATGCACCTAAAAGTTGTTTGCAATCCGCCATTAACTAAGAGAAGAAGAAGAAGAAAATGTGAAATAAAGTCGTTATTTTTGTTTTCTTTGCGCAAAAAAGTATTCTTTTTCATTTTTGGGTGAACTAACCCTTTAAGTTGATTGAAAGTGACAGTACAGATATTTATAATGTTATAATATATACATAGTTTGTGTAAAAGCATCTCCTAAACGAATAGAAGCCAATAATTATCGAAAAAAAAAGGGGGACGCATACAAAGGGTAAGTGGGCCGTGTGGGTGGGCCGGGTCCCTGGCCTGGGCTGCACTACACGTCTCACCTTTTTAATGCATCACAAATTAGCTGAGACATATACACATCTATACATTAAAAAACATATGTAAATAAATAAATAACAGACATCTGAGACAAGCGTGGCATGCAGGTAGTGGCCATGGATGGCTGGTGTTTTGGGGGATGGGGGGAGAGCTTTGGGCCCTGTTGCCCCGCAGCATCTTTCCAAGGCACTCCCGCTGTGGCGTGACATGGGCTTGGGATTAAGCTATGATATGTTGTTGCGACAGAGGGATCAGGGACAGCCCTAATAATTTATTAAATATTTATTAATATATAATTTATTACTATTATTAATAATATCATTACTATTACTTGCATCATTCACTGTCCTCCACCCTTTCCTAATCTTAATGAAATCCTTATTATTATTATTATTGTTGTTGTTATAGTTATCTTTGTCATCATTATTGCTTACAATACTTGTTGTCTCCACTGGTCTTGTCATATTTTTTTATTTTATTTTTTTTCTTCCTTCATTTTTTGTTATACTTGTTATATCTGTTATAAATCTTTTAGATACTCAGTGATTTGTATGCTTCCTACCACACACTTACATACAATGACATGCACACACACACACACACACACACATGCTCACAATCACAAGAATACATATACAGGAGTTATCAGAATGATCTTGAAATGTTAGCTATCTGGATATATGTTTGTTTGTCCAAGTGATTCTGTATTTGGCACTTGTAAATATTGTCACATTCCTTACTTACATAATAATTAAAAAAAAATAAAATAATAATAATTATCGAAAACAACTGTACAAAACCGTGTCCTGCTGTTTTAAAGGAGCCTTGTTGCTACAGACAGAGGCAGATCTGTGTTGACCCTTCTCTAGTTCACATGGAGATGGTGTGCAGCAAAGAAATGCACAAGGGCCCCTGCTAATTATTGTGTTTTTGTACGTATTGTGTTTGTTGTTTGAGCCCTCTCTCTGTCTTCTCCAGGCCTGACCATCTTAACAGTCATGTGCGACAGGTGCACTCCACAGAGAGACCCTTCAAATGTCCGGTAATCATACTCTTCTAGTTTCTCTGTAAACTCCCCCCAGTTTTCTTTCTCATTTATCATTAATGCTAGTTTTTCCTGCATGCTCTGTCTGATTTGATGTGTCATTGATTACCATTGGGAATAATTTGACCTTATAAACCAAGGCAAAGCATTGATAACAATCATTTAGACGTTAAAGCTCAAATATTAAACATTTCTGTTGAAAAATGCATGCATGTAAATGCTTTTTCCAACTTTTTTATTTTTATTATCCATTTTTATTAGCTTTGTGGCCATCTGCTTGAAATTATACTTTAGCAAATATACATGATTAAAAATTGCAGCCTTTATTGGAAAAAAAGACCAACATTTTTTAATATTAATGCTTTTGCTATAGTATACATACACCTGCCAAACGTTTGAGGTAAGGTAATTTTTAATTAAACTTATTTAATTACTTTTTTTTTTACTTTTATTCAGCATGGATACATTAACTTTTCATTCATCACAGAATAATAATAAATGTTTTTTGAGCATCAAATCAGCATATTAGAATGATTTCTGAAGGATCGTGTGACACTGAAGGCTGGAGTAATGATGCTGAAAATTCAGCTTTGCCACCACAGGAATAAATTACATTTTCAAATATATTAAAACTGTTATTGTAAATAGTAATAGTAATATTTCACAGTCTTACTATTTGTAGTGTATTTTTGATCAAATATAAATGCAGCCTTGATAAGTATAAGAAACTTCTTTCAAAAACAATAAAAAATCTTACCAACCCCAAAGCTTTGAACAGTAGTCTATGTGTTTTACTTTGTCTTTACGGACCCATGTATGACTAATATTATTTTCTATGATAATCAAATGCATAATACTACTACAGTCAATACCTAGAATATAGTCCTGAATATTCTTGTAAATCATTCTGCATTGTGTGTTTTGGCTCTTTATTAAACCTTTCTTGTATGTGCTTTTGTGGTCATATGTGTGGGGATGTACGTGTATGTGGGCTGCAGCCATATGTGTGAGACGAGGATGAGTCATGATGAAGGCAGATCGGAATAGAAAGAGAGTGTTTGATGAACCGTGTTGTTTGTTTGTGCAGACATGCGAATCCGCATTCGCTACGAAAGACCGCTTGCGAGCTCATATGATCAGACACGAGGACAAGGTTCCCTGCCACATCTGTGGCAAACTTCTCTCCCCTGCTTACATCACAGATCACATGAGGGTCCATAACCAATCACAGCATCACGTCTGTCACCTCTGCAACCGCAGTGAGTATCATTGAGTATTTCATTTGTGCTTTGAAAAGCATAACTATTCTTTTGATCATCTTTTACCCTTTTTTAATCTATTTACCAAGGCTGCATTTATTTGATCAGTTAGTTTATCAGTTTAGTAAAAATGGTAATAATGTGAAATATTATAACAATTTAAAATAACTGTTTTCTGTTTAAATATATTGTAAAGTGTAATTTATTCCTGTGATGCAAAGCTGAATTTTCAGCATCATTACTCCAGTCTTCAGTGTCACATGATCCTTCAGAAATCATTCTAATATGCTGATTTGCTGCTCAAGAAACATTTATTATTGAAAGCAATATTGCAAACAGTTGTACTTTATTATATATGTGTATGTGTGTGTGTGTGTGTGTGTGTTTCTTTGATATTTTTGTGGAAACTAATGCATTTTGATCAATTTATTGTTTCCTAGTGAAAGAAAGAAAGAAAGAAAAAAACATCTTACTAAACACAAATTTTGAACAGCAGTGTAAACAGATATCAGAAGTAAGATAAAAATTCAACAACAGCTCTGACGAATATGGCAAATAATTTGTTAGAATTATTTTAATTCAAACCAATCATTTTAGTGAGTCCTTTCAAATGAATCACTAAAGAAATGACTAAATAAAAATTAGAATTGGATTATTCTCGTTGTGCTATGTTTTTGCATGCAGCCAGTGACATCTCAAAAACCCATGTCGACTATTTATTGTCTCACCTCATCACATTTATTTCAGACTATAACTTATGTTAATTAATTATTAATCTTTTACTATGTATCTGTAGACTGAGCACCATCACTGAATAATGGTAAAGGAAACATTGCTATGTTTTCATTTTACTTCTTACTCTTTCAGGATGATTCCATTTACAAACAAATTATTCTAATGAGCTGATTCTTTTTAGTAAATCTAAAACATACCCTGCAACCACTGTAGTCCCAAATCACTTTTAAAAAATAATATAAAAGATTCACAAATTTTCAATTCCATATCATGGGATTTTAAACAAATAACAGTTGATCTGCATATTTTGGGACCTGTTGTCAAGTTTTAAATTGAGGATTTTACTAATGTATCACGTTAGAAAGTTCCCTGAATAATTTAAAGGCACTAAGAAAGTGACAAGAAAACAATAAGGCTTTTCATAAAAATCATTCTTTTTCGTCATAGGTTTCACCACACTGACATACCTGCGTGTCCACGCTCAGAAGCACCATGGGCAAGAGTGGAAGGACAGTGGGGTCGGCCGTGGCTCAGGCCCAGGCGGGGTGCTGTTATGCCAGCTGTGCGGGGTACAGTGCAAGACACCCACACAGTTGCAGGGTCACATGGCAACGCACGCAAACCAGATGGACCCCAGTGTTCCTTGCCCCATCAGCATCAGCAGCAGCAGCAGTTCAGTGGCGACCGTGGGCATAGCCACTCCTGTTTCCAGCCCTCCAGTCACAGTTGGGCTGCTGGTGACTGACTGCTCCAGCATTGCTCCTCAGAGCCACAGCTAGCCAACAGCACAGCACAAGGAGGGAGGGAGGGATGGAAGAAGCGGGGGTAATGGGTGGGAGGGGTGAGAAATCTAAGAGGATGGGCCCAACCTGGACAGGTATATCAGATATTCACAACATATTTACGACGGTTTCGCTGCCACAGAATTGAATGCCACAGAGATTTTAATTTGGCCATCAACTGGCTTAATTAAATTAATCAATTCAGTGGTTCATTTGTATTGTCATTCAGAAATGTTATATCGGAAATCCCCATTTTACATAAACTACCATTAAAAAAATTGAAGTTTGTAAGATTTATGACTGTTTTGGAAAGAACTCTCTTATGTTCACCAAGGATGCATTTATATGATTAAAATATTGTAATTGTGAAATATTAATACAGTTAACAATAATATATTTTATTTTGATATGCTTTAGAATTTGATTTATTTTTGTTATGGTTATTATTATTATCAATGGTAAAAACAGTTCCGCTTAATATTTTTGTGGAATCCGTAATGCATTATTATTTCAGGATTCTTTGGTGATTAGAAGGTTCTTTTTTGAACTCGAAAGCACTTTTTTGCATTAGAAATAATTTGTAACATTATAAATATCTTTACTCTCACTTTTGATCAACTTAATGCATCCTTGCTGAATAAAATTATTCATTTCTTTCAGAAAAAAAAAACTTACTGATCCCATTTAAATGGTAGAGTACCTTAAAATATTTTATATGTTTATAAAAAAATATAGTGAAATTTGTTGTATAGGTAAACATTACTGCTCGATCAGTTTTATTTTACTGGTGCATTTAAATGAGAATTATTAAAGATATTTTTTCCTTATCTTTCATTTAGAAACTGTAAAAACATGCTCTTGATTTCTTAACAGTATTTTACTTTTTGCGTTCACTATTGTAAACTACTATTGTAAACTACTTGATAACAAATTTAAATATACAGATACACACAGAAGTATACATATATACAGTGCCTTGCGAATATATTCATACCCCTTCGTTTTTTCACATTTTGTTTTGTTGCTGCCTTATGTTAAACTGCCTTAAATTAGTTTTTTTCCACAACAATCTACACTCCATACACCATAATTGTCAAGCAAAAAAACAGGTTTTTAATATCTTTGCAAATTTATTAAAAATAAAAAACTAAAATGATTCCATTGCATAAGTATCTGAGACAGTTGAAATTTAGCTCAGGAGCATTCATTTTGCTTGTAGATGTTACTACACTTCGAGTGAAGTTAACCTGTGGCAAATTCAATTGAATGGGTATGATTTGGAAAGGCACACACATCTTAATAAAAGGTCTAACAGCTGATAATGCATATCAGAGCAAAAACCAAGCCCTGAGGTCAAAAGAACTGTCTGTAGAGCTCAGAAACAGGTTTGTGTCAAGCCACACATCTGTGGAAGAGTTCAGAA